TCCACTCACCTCAGCCTCCCAAAGCGCGGGATTACAGGCTGAGCCACCGAACCTGGCTCTTAATTTATCTTTCAATCTTTCTCCATCTCTTTGAGACTTCTCCCTCTCTCTCTACCTCCCTCTGTCTCTCTCTCCTCTCCTCTCCTCTTTTCTTCTCTTCTCTCTCTCTCTCTCAAGCAGTTAAATCTTGGTCAACCTTTAACTATTTCACTCTCTCTCTATGCCTCTGTGTGTTTCTGTTTTTCTGTTGTTCTGTCCCTGATCTCATCTCTACCACGCCCTTCACACCACACTCTGTCTCACACACACCAGAAGCTCAAGAAATATGTTCTCAGCCAACCTCTGACTGTGCCTCTTTCTCTTATTTGTTTCTCCATCTCGAGTCCTTCTGTTTGTCACATCCCTGAATTTTGTAACCATATGTTGGATGGCCCGCCCTCCCCATCCCAGTGTGCACACACACTCACATGGGATAAGCTTCTTCTGCCTGCTTATCTCCTGCAGGAATTGGAACTGCTAGTTTTCTCCCCCCTCCCCCAGACCCCCCGATCTGGTCCTTCTCTAGGAACAAGATGAGGCCTCCGGCCTGAGCCCCCACAGTTTCGTCCCTGAGGTCCCCCGCTCATCTTCCTTCCTCCCTTCCATGACTGGCTCCTTGCCCTCTTCCCACATTCCCTCTCCCAACTGCTCTCCACACCTCCTGGGAAATGGGCTGGATGCCGAGCCGGGTGGGGGAGGTCTTTCGTGGGGGCCCTGACCAGATGGTGTCCCTGGGGACCAGGCTGTAGAGCTGTCAGTTGCTGGGACCTTTAATGAACACAAACCTTCCACCCTCCATCTTGACTGCTTTCCTTCTCTGCATGCTCCTTTCTGCCTCCTGGGACCCCAATCTTTCCATGCCTATTGCCCCAGAGAGCCAGGAAGGGGAAGCGATGTCAGGTGTCTGGAAAAACAGCTTCACTACCTGACTTAATCCCCAAGACTCAAGAGTCCTGGCTCCAAGCCCATTCTGTTTCAAAATCCAGGCAATGGATCTGCAACACCAAAGCCAAGAGTTCAGGCCCCCAGAACTAGAGTATGAACCCCCTAGGGCCCTCCCCTCTCAGCCCCGCAAGTCTCAGCCCCTTATCTCCAAGGGCCCAGGAATTCAGGCCTCCAATCCTCCCCACTGCCCCGCATGCACACACACATACACGCGGGACTTAGGACAGATGTTCACTGTCGATTTTCAAATCCTCTGGGCCTGTGTGGGGGTGGGGAGAGAGCGCTGGTTAAATCCACTGACTTAAGACCAGATATTCTGACCCCGTCACCCTCTCCCAAGTGCACCATGCGACAAGCAGGAGTTGAGTCTCCAACTGCTCAAGGAACCCGGAGATCGGGCCATCAGCTTCTCAGCCAGCAAAGGCCTGAACCGTCAGTCCCCTACCATCCCGTAAGTCCAACCCCCACCCCACGCCCCACCCGGCCGTTTAGGGGCACAAGAGCCTGAGCCCAAGAGCAACTGAGAACCTGAACTGAACTGTAGGAACTGAGAACCAGTTCCTACAGGTCCAGGAATGTCAGGCCCGGGATCCCAGCCCCCTCGGCCCTCCTTCGGGCGTCTCAGGGCCCCTCCCACCTGCTCGGCCAGCTGCGCGGCGTGGGAACGCCCCGGCTGGGCTGATGGAGCCGTCAGGACAAGCTGCGCGGTTCCCAGCCTCCCCGCCTGTCCGAGCCGGCCCCGCCGCCTCCCAGCCGTCGCCCGGCAACCGGGCCGAGGGGCCCGGCCGGCCGATCGGGGAGAGGGGCTGGGTCGGGACTGCGGGGTTCTGGGAAAGGAGGGGCTGGGGGCCTGGATTCCCGGGTCTTAGGACACGATGTGGTTTGCGGCAATAACACACAAGGCGGCGGAGGGATATTTGGAGGCCGGGTTTGGAGGAGGGGGAGTGGAGGCTCCCTCTTCTCGGGGGTCCCAGCTGCCCTCCAGGCGCCCGCTGTCCTTTTCCCGACCCGCAGGCCCAGGGGAGTCCAGGTCCCGGCTCCCCAGGGCGCGGGAACTGGCGAGGCCCCAGGGACACCCATTTATAGCTCCGTTTCCACTCCGCGCAGTTCCTCCAGGACCTGGGCTGAGCAAGTTTCTTCCACTCCCTCCCTTCTCCATCCTCACCCCACGCCCCCCCTCCAGCCCCGGCAGGGCGCAGGTGTCCAGCCCGGCCGGGACCCCCTCCACGGACCCAGATGTTCCTGCTCCCAGACCCCCAGTGGGCTGGGGCGCCCGCCCGCCGGGAGGACCCCGCCCTGCGCGCCCGCATTCATCGGCGTCCGGGCCGCGGGAGTTTCTCAATGGGCAGGGGGCGGGTGTCCCCGGGGGCCGGGCCGGGGCGGGGCGAGCGGGAGCCGGCCCTCCCGGGGTCTCTCTGAAACCGAGGGCGCGGAACCGGCAGGCGTTTCAGAGAGTCCCAGGCTCCGGATGAGCAGACTCGGGGAGCTCCAGCCCAGAGACAGAGGTCAACTTGCCGGGGGCGAAGGGTCGAGAGGGAAGGAGGCCGGAGGAAGAAGTTGGCGGGGAAGCCAGGGCAACGGCACCGCTCGTGGACCTTGGAGGACACACCCAGGATGCTGGTCCCCGCACTCCTCTTTCTCCTCTTCTGCTCCAGTGGGCGTGCAGGTACCGCGGGGGGTGGGGAGTGGGGAGGTTGCCACTGCCACTCCACTAGGGAGAGAAGAGCAGGGAGCTCAGACTCCTGAGTCTAGGGGAGGAGAACTCTGGAGGCCTGGGCTCTGGGTCTGAGGGAAAGAGGGCTTGGGAACTGGACTCCTGGACTCCTGGGCCCGGAGTGAGGAAACTCGAATGTGCTAAGCTCAGCTCCGCTGCCCTTCCCTCCCCCGCTTCTCCTAGGCCCGGCGCCCTATTTTCTGCAACAGCCGGAAGATCTGGTGGTGCTTCTGGGGGAGGAGGCCCGGCTGCCTTGTGCTCTGGGCGCTTACTGGGGGCTGGTGCAGTGGACGAAGGACGGGCTGGCTCTAGGGGGCCAGAGGGACTTGCCAGGTAAGCCTGTCCTCTCGACCCAGGGCGGGGCTTCTGGGCTTGGGCTGTATCTGAAGCTTCTCTTTTGACATTTTCAAGCTTGGGAAATTGATGGGCTTAGGTAAGATTTGCTAAATGAAGCATGTACCCGTGCAGATGCCCAGGTCCATTGCCAGCTCTCCAGAATCTCTCCTTATCCCCTTCACCTGTCGAACCTCTCGCCTCCTCCTCACTCCATAGGTAGTATCCAGTCTAACTTGCGTGGCATTTATTTCCTTGTTTTCCTTTCTGAATTGTTCACCCCCAAGTTTGCAGTAACTCTGGATTGGAAGGGGGTCAGAGTCTCTCTGGACCCAGCATGTCCTTTTTAATCGTGTCTTGCCATCCAGTGTGCGGGCCAGTTTTCTGGTTTGAGATGTCTGGGGACAGAGACTTGAGGCCAGGCGCTCAGAACCACCACGTGACTGCATCTTTTGTGACTCCAGGGTGGTCCCGGTACTGGATATCAGGAAGTGCAGCCAGTGGCCAGCACGATCTCCACATTAGGCCCGTGGAGCGAGAGGATGAAGCACTGTATGAATGTCAGGCTACACAAGCAGGCCTCCGCTCTCGGCCAGCCCAGCTGCACGTGCTGGGTAAGGATCCATCCCACTTGTTCCCTGGGAGCCCAAGGGGCAGCCAGTACTAGTTGGCAATAGCAGAGTCCAGAGAGCCCAGGGGAGTGATCAGTTGGAGCTGAGATCAGGGTCTCAGCCCAGGATCCAGCTCTGACCCCAGATCCACCCTGTAGTGCCCCCTGAAGCCCCCCAGGTGCTGGGAGGCCCCTCTGTATCCCTGGTTGCTGGAGTTCCTGCGAACCTGACATGTCGGAGCCACGGGGAAGCCCGCCCCACCCCTGAGCTGCTGTGGTTCCGAGATGGGGTCCGGTTGGATGGGACCACCTTCCACCAGGTCAGATCCAAATCTCTGTGCCAGCCCTTGCCCATTCAGGGAAACTTGGGGTCCACTCTGATCACAGGTTCATCCAGAGGAGAAGAAGGCATGGGAGGGCAGGGCTTCAAGAGTTAAGACCCTTGGAATGTGATTCAGGGTAAAGACTCCAGGGCCAGGCTACCTGGGTTCAAATTGTGACTCAGCCACTTGCTAATTGATTGCTCTTGAGTAAGCTATTTAACCTCTCTGTCCCTCCGTTTCCTGAAGTACAATGAGGGTAAATAGTAGTATGCACCTCCTAGGATAATTGTGAGGGTTAAATAAAGTCATGCCTACACATGCCTTGGAGAGTGGTTGATACATAGTAAGCAGTATATAAGGAGTGGATGAACTCATTATTATTATCCACAACTCCAGACCCTGTTGAAGGAAGGGAGCACTGGGTCAGTGGAGAGCACCTTATCCCTGATCCCTTCCAGCCATGATGATGGAGCCACCTTGGTCTGCCGGGCCCGAAGCCAGGCCCTGCCTGCGGGAAGGGACACAGTGATCACACTGAGCCTGCAGTGTGAGTGCAGATGGCCCTGGGAAAGAGGGATATGGGGCCTGGACTCCTGGGTCTGAGGAAGGAGGGAACTGTGGTCCCTGGGGAGAGAGGAAGCTGGGACCTGGTCTCCTAGATCAGAGAGCAGGAGAGGACAGAATGCTGGGATCCCCGCAGAAAGAAGAAGCTGGGGCCTGGACTCCTGGATCCGAGAGGACAGAGGACAGAAGACTAGGGTGCCCAGGGAAAGAGAAAGCTGGAGCCTGGATGCTTGGATTTGATAGTGGGAGAGAATACATAGGAGTAGAGAAGATTAGGGTCTTGGTCTAGGATCCAGCTCTGACCCCGGATCCACTCTGCAGTGTCCCCAGAAGCCTCCCCGCCCACCCCAGAATGTTGGAATGCCTAGAAAAATTGGGAACCGCAATCCCAGACTACTGGCTCCAAGGGAGATGGGGACTAGGGATTCACACTCCTGGGGTGGAGGGACCAGGGACTGGACTCCTAGGCCATCTTTGGAGATGTTTCTTGTCCTTGCCCACATTGACCATTGTCCCATCCCCACAGACCCCCCAGAGGTGACTCTGTCTGCTGAGCCGCAGACTGTGCAGGAGGGAGAGAAGGTCACTTTCCTGTGTCAGGCCACAGCCCAGCCTCCTGTCACTGGCTACAGGTAAGACGAAGACCATCTCTTCCTCACCCCCGGCCAGCCCTCCCTCCGCACGGGCGTGGCGAGGGCTGGGACCTGAGTAGGTATGCCTGGAGCCGGACACCACTTAACAGCGTCTCTGCCGCCTCAGGTGGGCGAAGGGGGGATCCCCGGTGCTCGGGGCCCGCGGGCCAAGGTTGGAGGTCGTGGCAGACGCCTCGTTCCTGACTGAGCCCGTGTCCTGCGAGGTCAGCAACGCCGTGGGTGGTGCCAACCGCAGCACCGCGCTGGACGTGCTATGTGAGCCGGGGCGGGGCTGTGGGTGTCGCCCAAGTGGGGCGTGGCCTGTGAGGCGCCGGGGCCGGGCGTGTGGGCGGAGACCACGGGGGGCGGAGTGTTGTGGGCTCGAGTCCTGTCCTCGGGCCCTGGAGCGTGTCGTGTTTCTGAGGGACTGATCCCAGGTCAGGGGCTCCATTCCTTCTCTCTGCCCGGCCCTGTGGCCCCTCCTCTTCCTCCCCAGTCGGACCGACTCTGCAGGCAACACCGGAGCCGGTGTCCGTGGACGTGGGGAGAGACGCCTCCTTCCGCTGCGCCTGGCGCGGGAACCCGCTCCCGCGGATCACCTGGACCCGCCGCGGCGGCGCGCAGGTGAAGCCCTGTCCGTGGCGCGGCCGTGGCGGGTCGGGCTTCCTCGCCAGTCGCCCCGTCCCCGTTTCAGGTGCTGGGCTCCGGGCCCACGCTGCGTCTGCCGTCGGTGGGGCCCGAGGACGCGGGCGACTACGTGTGCAGGGCCGACCCCGGGCCCTCGGGCCTGGGGGGCGGCGCCGCGGAGGCTCGGTTGACGGTGAACGGTGAGAACGCGGGACCTCCGGGAGGACCTGGCGGTCCGGGAGGAGGAGTGGGCCGAGGGGCGAGGGCGAAGGGGCGTGGGCGAGGCCTTGGGAGCAGCTTGTCCTCGCGGGGCCTGAGTGGTCGGAGCTCGGCCTGTGGAAGGCGGGGCTCTGGGGGATCGGTGTTTGCCCGGGGGCGCGGCCTGGTTGGTGGGTGTCAGCGAGAGTGGCCAGGCCGGGCCCCCTTTCTTGAGACCGACCGCTCCTCTGAGTGGTCCACCGTCTCCGCCCCAGCTCCCCCGGTAGTGACCGCCCTGCACTCTGCGCCTGCCTTCCTGAGGGGCCCGGCCCGCCTCCAGTGTCTGGTTTGGGCCTCTCCGGCCCCAGAAGCCGTGGTAAGGAAAAGTCGCCCATGCCGTGGCCTCTGACCTCCCATCAGGACCCCTGACACTGCTGTCACCGTCTCTGACTTTTCCGTCACCCGATCTGCTTCTCCCCTTCTCTCCTCAGTCTCCTCAGTGCCCTCCCTCCTTTGTGTCCCCAGGTCTGGTCTTGGGATGAGGGCTTCCTGGAGGCAGGGTCACAGGGCCGGTTCCTGGTGGAGACATTCCCAGCCCCGGAGGGCCACGGGGGACAGGGTCCAGGCCTGATCTCTGTGCTACACATTTCGGGGACGCAGGAGTCCGACTTTAGCAGGAGCTTTAACTGCAGTGCCCGGAACCGGCTGGGCGAGGGAGGCACCCGGGTCAGCCTGGGCCGTAGAGGTGAGACCCCGGCCGGAAGTTCCCAAATCTGGGTATTAGAAACCCCACAAATGCAAGGATCCCAAACTAAGGGCTGCCAAGCCTCAGACCACTCAATGCAAAGACTCTTTGGGAGCCTCAAAATGATGGGCTCATTAAATCCCACCACCCCAAAATAATAGCTTCCCTCGAACACAAAATCCTAAACTGAGAGACCCCTCACACTTGCATTCTCCAGATAAAGAGAATTGCAAAGTAAAGCACCCCTCAAACTCTAAGACTCCCTAATGCTAGGATGTTTAAGCTCATATACTCTCAAACTTATGGAACCCCAAATTTGTGGGCTCTTAAAAGCAAACTAGGGGACGTCAAACCTTGGAAATCAGGTGAGACCTTTTGAGCCCAAGGACGCCAGATCAAGCCTCGAGCCCCCTTTTCCCAGTTCCTCCTCAGTCTTCCGCTTGGCCTTCCTAGAATGCCCCTCTCCTCCCCGCAGACTGGCTGCCCACCGTGCAGATTGTGGCCGGGGTGGCGGCTGCGGCCACCACCCTCCTCATGATCATCACCGGGGTGGCTCTCTGCTGCTGGCGCCACAGCAAGGGTCAGTGCCTGAGTCTCACCCAGCCCCCGGTCCCCAATCCTCGTCCCCACTCACACCCTGCCCCCTGACTCGGCCAGCCTTGGACCGGGCTCCAGCCCGGTCTCTAGCCCTGCACACGCTCGCTCACCCTCAGGCTCGGGTTCCCTCTCAGGCCCTAAGTCGGCCTAACTCAGGGTCACACTCTCCGCCCTCCCAGGCCGGGGGTCTCATTGGTTCCCAGCCTCCCTACCCGATCCACCCAGTCCTCTCTCTTCCCGCTTACTGGTTTCCACAAAGCGTGACCCCGCCCCCATCCCCTACCGTCCACCCCTCACTGTTCCGGCCTCAGCTTCTTTCTCCGAGCAGAAGAACCTAGTGCGAATCGCAGGCAGCAGCGACGGCTCCAGTTCGCGGGGTCCCGAGGAGGAGGAGACCGGCAGTGGCGAGGACCAGGTAGGATGCCGGGATTCCCAGATCTGACTGTGCCTCCAGTCCCAAATAATACTGCAGTCTCAAGTAGGCCCCCAAACTCAAACAGGGCTCTAGTCCCAACAGTGGCCGCAGACCCAAATGTCCCCCAGGTTCAAATATTCCCCAATCCAATTATACCCTAGACTCAATATGTCCCCCTGGCCCTCTTGTCCTGAATGCAATCCCCAGCCTCCGGGTGCTCTTAGCCCTGCCTGGCCTCCACTGGCCGCCTGGTGGTCCTTGGGGTCTGGCATTGGGGCGCCAGGAGGCTCCTCTGATCACTGTTTTCTACCCCAGGGCCCCGTTGTGCACACGGACCACAGAGACCTGGCTCTGGATGAGGAAGGGGTTCTGGAAAACAAAGTGAGTGTTAGGAGGGAAGGGGCTTCCTTCCCTGTGTCCCCAACTTTCACTTCTGATCCCTCATTTTTCTTTCTGTTGCCCCAGAGCTGGAACCCAGGCCCCTTCTGGTTCATCTCACCCATCTCCACAGCCTCAGTTTGTGTGTCTGCTGACTATGCCCACACATTTGTCTCTGCCACAGCCTCCCCCTTGTCATGTTTCCGGCCTCCTGGATGCCTCACAGATCCTATTAACTCCAGCCCCACCCCCCAGGCCAGAGCCCTCCTCTCTCTCCTCTGTACTCACTCAGCACACGATACACGCTAGGCCTGAAACACTCCCGCCTTCTTTCCCATATCTACCCCATTCCCTCCTTTGTTCCTGCCTCCACTAGACAACTCTTGTTCTAGGAAGCCCTTCCCCCCCACTCACACATACAGCTCAATTGTTCTGCCTGGGTTTCACCTGCGACAGCCATGACCACCCTGACCTGGGCTTCCTCATCACCGTCTGATCACCATGCCAAGTCTCCCCCATCGCAGCTCCCATCACTGCTTGTGCTTTCCCTAGGCACAGCCCTAACCCTCGGGGCTCTGTCTGGAAATTTGTCATCTCGCCCTGGGCCAGGGATCTCCATGGTGACAGGCTCCAGGTCTTTCCTGGTGACATGTCTCCAGCAGCAGCACAGGGGGTGACACAGAATCGTTGCCTAGGGGCTGCTGGGCAGATGAATCGTTCTCCTGCCTCCTCTGCATCTTCTCCACGCTGCCACCTCTCAGCAGGCCTATATCCCACTGTCTCTCCCTTTCTCTGTCTATTCCCTTCTGTTCCTTGTCCCTCGTCACTGCTCTGCTGTCTCATGTTTTCTCTCTGCCAGTCTGTGTCTGTGCCTGTTCCTGTCTCCTTTTGTCTCTCCCTATGTCTGACTCTATCTCAGTGTGTCTCTTCATCAGTGACCCTCACCTCCCTGTACCCTGCCATGCCTCACCAAGTCCCACTTGTCCCCTCAGGACCCAACCAATGGTTACTACAAGGTCCGAGGAGTCAGTGTGAGCCTGAGCCTTGGTGAAGCCCCCGGAGGAGGCCTCTTCCTGCCACCCGCTTCCTCCCTTGGGCCCCCTGGGACTCCTACCTTCTATGACCTCAACCCGCACCTGGGCATGGTCCCCCCATGCAGACTGTATAGAGCCCGGGCAGGCTACCTCACCACACCCCACCCTCGTGCTTTCACTAGCTATATCAAGCCCACCTCCCTTGGACCCCCAGATCTGGCCCCTGGGACGCCCCCTTGCCCATATGCTGCCTTCTCCACACCCCGCCACCCTCGTCTCCAGACTCACGTGTGACATCTCCCCAGCTGAAGAGTCCTGGCATCGTCAACTTGCCATCACGAATTGTCCTGATTTCGGAAGAATCGGAACCAGTTGGCAATCTTACTCCTCCAAATTTGAACACTGGGGGAGGGAAAGATTGTTACAACTGTCAGGATCGCTGACGTACAGTCAGCTCAGCCAAAGGGGCTGCCCAGATGGAGAGCGATCCTATTCCTCCGTGGAAAAGGGATTCAAGATGGCGGATAGGCCCTTTGCTGAGAGGGGGGACAGGGGTTGGTGGGAATTAGGGGCAGAGAGGGAAGTTGCTTCTAGCCACTGAAGGAAGATATTTCAAGATGACCATCTGCATTGAGAAGAAAGAGCACAGGGAAGATCAAGGAGGAGGGCAAGCCAGGCCCCACCCTGCCTGGCTTTCCCTAAAGGATGCTTTGCTCAGCCAATAGAAGCACAGCCAAGATGACTGTTCACACCCAGAAACCCAAGATGGCCATCATCCTGATTCCTTCCACTTTTCTTAAAGACTCAGAAAGAACTGGACCCAAGGGCGAGAACTATCACAGTGGGGGTGAAGGGGAATCTTGGGATAAGAATATTTATGTTTGATTAAAAAAAAGTCAAAGAGGCAAATGTGCCTTGGAGAGTCTCCCAACATTCTTACCCTCCATCAAGGAAGGGGTCCATCGAACCTGTCCTAGTCTATGAGGTGGCTATGGGAGCAAAGCTGTGAGCTACCCCTCAGCCCCTTTGACACTCTAGACTCTTTGAATATGCATCTATACAAACACACACACAGAGTTGCAAACAGACATAGACACGCACATGTATGCACAGAAACCCACATAGATGTCCACACATATGCACACACATGGCCGGGCTGTCCCAGTCGGTCTGTGGAAGACGGAATTCTACAGTCTCATTTGAGTGAGCCGGAAGGGGAGTCAGGGAGGAGACCAGGGGTGGGAAAATGGAAATACTCTGGTCCTTAGAGCAAAGGTGGAGGTGCAGGCCTTTATCTTGAGGTGCTGGGTCCTTGATGGGTAAGGTGCCGGGGGCCTGACTTAAAGGGCCTGGCGGCTTTGGGTCATGGATCCTGAAGCTAGAAGTTAAAGGTCCAGACCCCTGGGACCCTTGGGAAGCAGGACAGAAAGACTGAGCTCCCGGTCTCTGGGCGAAAGAAAGGGCTGGGGACTTGGTCTCTTTCTGAGGGAGAACGGACCCGGACTCCTGGATCCAGAAGAGGAAGGGACTGAGTCTTAACTGCTGCGTTCTGGACTGGGAAATGTTGGAGACCTGTATGTCTGGGCCCTCAAGAGGGCAATTTACTGGGGGGAGGGAGTGGCGGCCAATGCTGGCACCCCTGGAGTAGGGCGAGGCTGCTTGCGGGTGGGACCTGAGGGCGAGGGTCCTGAGGAAGGATTCAAAACCCGCAGCCGGAGGCGCCCATGACCCAGACGGTGGCTCGGGCCTGGCCGGGGGGGCGCCGGAATCTCAG